ATTATTACTTCCGGAAAAGTGATCCGCTAATTGACTAACAACTGAGTTTCATTAAATGGAGATTACAGAGCCCAGTATTGTCTCCCAATAGGACATTAAGTCATAACAGGCTTCCAAAATCGTTGGCTCCTTTTTACATCAAATTGATTAATCTTTCAGAGATCATGGTTTGGATCATCAATAACGTACAAAATAACAAACAATGTTATTTTGCATTCAGGAGTGTAAGCATTATAATTTCACAATGTTAGTGCCAAGAAATATACCGGCAATTGCTCAGAAGAAGAAGCAAAATCAACACAGGCTAATCATATCTAACTCCTAAACCAATTGGTAAATTAGTGAAGGAACAAAGAGAGCATCTTACCATCAGAACCTCTGTCAGAAATAACAATTGTAAGGAAGACCCTTATCTTCCTTACAATGCACTCCAGGACACTATCGAATGTGAAGCGTGCTATAAATGCTATAAACTTCTCTACAGCCAGGATCAGTGACAAATGTTTAATTATTATCTGTTTAAACATTTGTCACTGATCCTGGCTGTAGAGGAGTTGGCTTAGAGCTGCCATTTAGCCTGAAAGTGAAGATCCCTTGTTAACTCGGGTGAGTTTCTGTTCATTTTTTCAAATGTCATAAGTGGAGATACAGCTTCCACCAATGATGTGATTATTAGTTATAAAAAAATTGGTTTATTGTTATAACAAGTAAGGGAAGTTTAGTTTATAGTATATCTTGTGAAGCCCATCAACCCCTCTCTTTATCTGCCGCGTTCGCCCACAAATATGCAGTCAATTCACTTTACAGTGGCTTCTGTGAAGCGCTTTGGGACGTCCTCTCGACGTGAAAAGCGCTATATCAAATGCAAGGATTATTATTATTATTATTATTAAAGAGGCTATGAAAAGCAAGGTGCTCTCTATTTCTCAAGCCAGAGGCAAAAGCTTATGCCAAGTCTACGAAATAAAGATTAGTGGGACTTTTGGCCCATAGGAATAGAGAATGATGGGCAGAGTGAGAGCCATGATAAAGAAGGTTTCAGCTGGAGAAAATCTACTAAATCTGTTTGTGGAGTCCATGAGATATTAATGAGTGTCAGGTGTCCACTGGCGCCAACATAGCCAGGGCTGGAGTGCAACCACTTCTTTGGAGAGGTATCAGTTTTATGGAAAAGAAAACAAGTTTAAGTGTGAGAAATTTATCCTGTACATGTCTCCAAATAGCGGCACAGATTTCCCCAAAGAATCTCTGTAGAATTTACAACTTCCCAGAATAACAAAAACATTCTCAATGTTACCCTTAGCTTATACACTAAAATATTCAGGAAACCATTTCTACCGTGCTTTCTGTATATTATTATGATTAATATCAGAATATCAACTTTTACCCCATTTACATGGCAGATCCAGAATCAGTTTATATTTAGTTGAAACAAATGGTAAATCCTATTGTTGTGAATCACAGCTAAAGGAACTGATAGAAAACAGCTTGAAAATTAAGGCTACGTTTAAAATTCTGGACACTCTAAAATGGTGCTTTAATGGAATAAATGTTGACCCAGATGTAATTTCTCCCCACTGAGTTTTAATACTGTTGCATAAAATGGTACTCCGGAAATCAGCCCACTTTGTTCTGCAGAGTGCATTCGAGAGCAATTGAAACATATATAAAAAAATGATGAGCATGTGAGCAAGGATACATATAGCATTGTTGCATACGTACCATTGTTTTGAATTCAAAACACTTCTGCACTGCACTTCTGGCCGATTTTCCTTTCCCATGCATTGATAAAGCAAACTGAAAGAGAACTTTGTGCTAGATCTAGGAGCAATGTGTGTAAAATTTCTGTTTCATTTTGATGAATGCAAATTTGTGACTTTATTTCAGTTCATGCAACTAAAATACAATAGATCCCTCTTCATAAGTCATGCAAACAGATTATTACAATTTATAAACCTACTCTATTAGTAAGGTTTATGAGGACCTGGGTTGATTCCCGGGCGGGTCGAAACTGTAGGCAAGTTTCCTTACTCCACACCCCTTGGCTTACTAGCAGTAAGTAGAAACCCGGTTGTTAGTCGATTGGTGGATCGCTTTCTAGGGGTAATAATCCATAAAGAAATTTGGGGCACTGAATCCAAGACTGTGTGTAGAACACTGCTATTGCCTGCTGCGTTTCACCCACAAAATATACAATCAATACACTTTGACAATATGTTCTCTGAAGCACTTTGAGATATTTTAACAATGTGATAAGGCGCTATATCAAATCCAAGGATTATTATTGTTATTATTAAGGGGTAGTATCTATCTTTTGCCTAAACCGCCTCTATCTCCATGAAAATATAAGAGATAAAATGCTTTTTTCCATTCAGTATTCCAAGAACATACCAAAGTGCCTGGTATTTAGATTCTAAGCAAGCAGGGATAAACAACATCTGTTATATCAGTATTACAGTAAAGTGATACTGGAACTCAACTTACTGTATTAAAATTAAATTAAATTGTGTCTTCAGCAACAATGACTTTTCCCATCTGGCTGTCAGTCAAATGCAGGACTGCAAAGAATGAGACCCATGTTATTCCCAATGAAGCCACTTGTTATTAGGTGGTGAGTCCTCTCCATGGAGAAGAAATAAGCTTACATACAAAATTGTTTACAAAGTACAACAACAACAAACAACAACAAAATTACATTTATAGAGCGCCTTTCACATCGGGAGGTGCAGAGGCGCTGGCGCGAGCCAATCAGGAGGGCCTCAGTCTTGCTGACGTTCAGCTGGAGAAAGTTGTCCTTTGTCCAGGACTTGACGTCTGACAGGCAGGCGGTCAGGAGGTCCGTAGTCCTGGAGTTGAGGGTGGAGGCAGAGAGATGGAGTTGGGTGTCATCCACATACTTGTGAAAATTTACCCCATGTCTGAGAATGATGTCACCAAGGGGGAACATGTAGAGGGTGAAGAGGGGAATGAGGACAGAGCCCTGAGGAACACCGCACAAAACTGTGCAGGGGCAGCAGAAGCCGTTTGCTGTGACGAAATGGAGGCAGTGTGAAAGGTAGGACCTGAACCAGTCAAGGACAGAATTTGGATGTTGAGGTGGGAGAGGTGGTGGTGGAGGATTGAGTGATCCAGTGTCAAAAGTGGCGGAGAGGTCGAGGACGAGGAACCCGAGGGAGCCCTGGTCACACATGGTCAGGATGTCATTTGTGACCTTGACCAGAGCAATTTCTGTGCTGTGGGCAGCATGGAAACACGATTAGAGGGAGTGGGAGGAGAGGAAAGAGCGAAGCTGGGAGGAAACGGCTCTCTCAAGCACCTTGGACAGAAAAGGGAGGTTGGAGATGGGCCGGTAGCTGGATAGCTGTGACGGGTCAAGGGAAGGTTTCAAGGTGGGGATGATAGTGGTTGTTTTGGGAGGGCAGTAGCAGCTGAGCAGATTCCCTTGATTTTGGACTCGAGGAAGTCCAGCATTTCCTCACAGTGAGTCGGAGGAAAGAATCCGCGAGGCGTGGTGGGGAGGGCAGAGGAGCCGGTTGGTGGTGGAGAACAGGAACCTGGGGTTGCCCTTCGCCTCCAGGATTAACCTGGAATAGAAGGACGATTTTGCCAAAGCGAGAGCGGAGCAGTAGGTTTTTATGTAGTCCAGCCAGATGTGCCAGTGAACTGTTAGACCGGATTTGAGCCAAGTGAGTTCGGCAGCCCACACCTGGCGTGAGCGCAGGTGGCTAGTGAATCAGGGTGAGGATCGGAAATAGGAGGCAGTTCGGGAGGTGAGGGGGCAAGGGCGTCAAGTGTGGTGGAGAGGGTACTGTGGAGGAGAGTAAATGCAGAGGATGGGTTGGTGCGGGAGGTGGGTCAGAGGGGGAAGAGTTCAGAGAACTCCAGAGGCGCGGAGAGGGATTGTAGGGAGATCGTTTTCCATGGGCAGTAGGAGATGGTGGTAGGTTTGGAGGCAGTTGGGAGAGGGATATAGGAGTAGCAGTGTGATTGTTCTTTACCCCAAAAAATTAAGGAAGAAAGTGTAGGGAATACATCACCTTCTTCTTTAATGTAGAATGTTGCAAAGAGGTTTGTCTTGGTAAATGGGAAACTTACCCATTTAGGCACCATAGATGTCAACCTGGATCAGTTGGTACCACTCCATAATTCAGTGGTTCACAAATAAAAATGTTGGTAGCCCCAGTGTGTGGCCACTAATCTACTGGTGGCTGCAGTGTGACTATTCGCAATCTACATTACTTTTCCCCTTCGCGAGTCAACTGGTGTACAGAAAGAGAGCATATGCCTGACTGGCCACCCAGCCACCCTCACAGAGCTGCCTGGGAGGTGTAGTCCAGCCACCTCTTTCACAACAACAGCATTCATTCGAACCCCAAGGACCTGCATTTGAACACTGTCTAGTTAGTTGTAGTTCAAAGCTCTATTTAGTCTGGTTTCAACAATGCGAATTAGCACAAATTTAAGTGAGTTCCCACTCCTCACTGCACCAGTTACATTTTTCTTAAAAAAAATCAGGTCTAACATTGCATAGCAAACAGCAGTTGTGAAGCAAAATGTATCCCGTCCCTCAAGACTAGGAAAAGTATAATAATACTGTAGTAACGCATTGCAGTATCATTGACTGTGAGCTCAAAGTCCCAAAATGTGGTTGAACCCAAAACTCTGACCCAGATGTGAGTGCTACCAACTGAGCCAAACCTACACAAACAGTTGACTAATATACCAATTCAAACTTGGGACCTTGCTGGTCTGCATGGCTCAGTAACACTCTTATCAGTTTCCATCCCCAATTTAGTTTCTGTCTACATTTCTTGGAGAAGAACTGCTCATTATAATCCTTTTTTTAACCCATTTTAATGTAAACATACAACTCCTTTAAACTTCATGTCTACTAATATTTAACAAGAGTAAAACACAATGCTTATTGAGTGTCTGGTATAAAACCTTGACTGGTGAGTGGATATTGCATTAAACAGATACGTAATGAAATAGCAATTCCGTTTTGGTAAATCCTGTTGATTCTATTTGTTATAAGCAGACAAACATATTAACATAACAGATAAAAGCATTTTTCAATACCCACATCAAATTTACAACATCCAACAATTACTTTTCTGTTGCAACATTCAGGCTAGTAATACTTTCAAGCTGCTTGGGTTCTGCAATCCTTAAAAAGAATTACAGTACATTGAGCAAAGGGATTGGCATGGGAAGCCTGTAATCAGATTGCAGTAACAATACTTCCATGCACAATACCAAACAAAAATATATTTTTTAAAAATCCAAACATTTTTTAAAAATGAATTGAGGCTTCATTTGTATTGCAAATAATATGCATTTAGCTACTGCTGGTACATCAATAGGAATAGTTTATAATGTCACAGCAGAACTGAATGCTATGCAGATTTGCATTTATTTTGTATTTATGTTCCACTTAATACACCCTGATAGCTCCTTGGTGTCAGTGTTATTGAAGGAAATCATTTAAAATGCTTAGTATATTTTTCATTATTATTTTATGAAAAAATATGTACTGTGCTTAAAAAACAATCAATATGGATAGTGCTGTTTGGAATGTAGAATCGTGCAAATTAGTATTAATAACAAGACCAGTATCCATTTTCGTGTTGAATTGTAATCTTACAAAACAATGAAATACCTTAGTGACTTTACACAACTGACAGTTTAGCTGAAAACATATTTAGTACAAATGTATTCAGGTCTGAATAGATGTAAAATTGATAAGTGTACAGTATTTGTTATTTGGGATCATAACTGAACTACTCCCTAAGTCATGACAGCACTGTTGGCAGAGACTGCTCTTAAAACAGTGAACATACACAGACACAATCAAAAGGATTACATAACAATAAAAGGAAAACAAAATGGGAAAGGAAACCAAACATGAAAGGACTACATTCCTTTAATACGATTCAAATATTAATCTGCTATAAAGCCCAGGTCTCCTGCATTTAAAAAAAAATCAACAATGTGTTTTAAAAAGTCATTAGATTTCAAATCTACAAAAATTTACATTTTGGTATTCGAAGTGAACTTTCAATTAACATATACAGATTTCTATAAAGGCTGAAAATACGTTAAAACGCATGGCTACACAGATTAGATTTTTAATAGTTAAGTATTGGTCCGATACAGTTATACTGTCATTTGAAAAAAAAAGTGACAAGCATCTTTATGAGACTCTGGATTCTGAAAATTATACTTAAATGTGTGGTTGAATATCTCTTGGTGTCTCTACGGTCGACAGTGGCTGCCTTGTGTTTCTCAGCATACTGTAGTGCAGCCAGTCTGTGAAGCCTTTTACTGTGTTGTAGAGGTGATTGCTGTCAAAACGAGGTTGCTTGGAAAGAATGGGCCTGTGTGAAAGAAGCAGGACTGCCAAATGTACTAATATGGGGATGTGGCGGGATCACTGAACTGCACACATTGAACTTCTAGGAGGGTTCACAGTTCTCGCCACAGGCTCCTGGCTGTAGTTCACAATATCTGCCTTCACTACTTGCTGTCACATAAAAAGAGAAAGAGACACACACAGAGGTATTAATGAATATTATACGTTTCTTTTGCATATTTGCCATTAAATAAAAGTATAAATAGGTTTAGTAGGAAAGGTGACAGCTATTCAGAGATTGAGGCATATGTATAAAACTCAATTTCAATTAAAGTAGTTTGAATACTAGTAGTTTGGTAAACACCAAGCGTCAATGGAATAAATTAATTTATGCACCACAAAAATAAGTAGAGCAAAATTCCTATTAAAAGCCTTTTCTTGTAATCATGTTATTTCTTGAGCAAAAAAACAATTACTGTAATGCAACTATGTATCAATCTTAGTGCTTCCATTTTAATACAGGAAAATAGTTATAAAAGCAGTAATAGTCACCATTATTTTAATACAAGTATGTAATTTTAGAATTTGGAAAAATCTAACAAAGATATCTACTTTTTGTTTAATACGACATTTTTTTAAAAAAAGCAGGAAGGTTGTTCAAATTTCTCCTGCAGTACCTGAGCTACTGCACAGTACACACTTTACTCTGGCAGTGTGTGGAACCCTGGGATAGGTTCTCTTCGTGTGGGTAATTTACCAACTCGGCCCTGACAATACGCTGTCAATCACGTCCAACAGAAAGAAGCATTGAGAGTGAAAGGGAGATGGAGAGGAAAAACAAAAGAAAAGAACAAATGAGTTAAAATGTTTCATGATAGACATGAATAAGCGATCTTTGCGGATAGCAACAAAATATTTAGGTGTATGGTTCTAGAGAAACAAATATACAGGACAAGAGATGAGATGAAAGTTAACCCACTCAGCAAATTTTCCTTTTATAAAACCAGTTTAAACTTTTATCAAAAAGAATCCATGATCGGTTAACTTATGTCCAACAAAGCAAATGATAAGCAACTAAGTAAAATTTTCTGATTAGTCTTATATTTGAATAGAAACATTTAAAAGCAGAGGCATCAGGTAGGTAGTATGTGATATTCAAATACTGTAAAAGACAAATATAGGTGGGTTGCAATGAGATCATTAAATCTGGAACTAGAAACTAAATTCTAAGTTTAATAAAGAGAAAGATGAAAACACAAACTGTATTGAAGTATACAGCTTCTCCTGAAGCCACATAAACTGAACCTGTAGAAGTGGGCTTCCAAAAATGCTACCTGAAAACCCCAATTAAACTGAAGTTGACAAGAGCAACTGATACCTAATATCCTAGATTTCTTCAAAGGCTTTGACGTAAGACTGCAATGAAACCATCAATTTTACAGCTATTCAATGACAGTAATAATACATTGGAAGCCGGTTAAGCCGGACACATTGGGGACGGATATTTTGTCCGGTTTAAGAGGTGTCTGAGGTTAACTGAAATACCATTCCCACCCAGCAGTGGAGACCCGCCGACCCCGTATAATAATATGCAATAACGTTGTTTCACTTGAAGCATTGTCAACTAACCAGTGAAAATTAAAATACTCAATTCACATAATCCAGTAAAATATATTTACCTTTGTTTGGCTGCAAAATATAGTTCAGTACTTTATGCCCAGCACAGGGGCGCTGCTTCCTCCCACCCACTGCCATTTCCATTGGACAGGAAGCCGTCAAATTATCGGCAGCGTTGAGGTGATTGACAGCCTGCAGCCACTTGTGACTGTTTGGGCTCCACTCATTCACAAGTGACCCAGCTGTCAATCAATCACGATTCCCTCCCTTGTGCTTCCCTGCTCCTCCGCCCCCTCATTGATTGACAGCCCAACTCCAGACTCTTGTGAATGGCTGGAGTCTGCTCTCAATCGCAATTTGACTCCTCCCATCTACATCCGGGAGGCCCAAGTGAGTGAGAAACCCGCTAAAAAGTGACTCCATACATAGGCAAGAATTATCTAATATAATTTGACCTCAGTCAAGACAGTGAGTCTCGCGTTGGTAAATAAAATTAAATGCACGTGCACAGGTAAAGCAAGCTGCAAATGCAGTGGCTGTTCAATCATTGCTGCACATAATATGATTACACCTGCAGATTGATGCTTTGAGTTCTGGAGGAATGCAATGCACTATTGACTTTCAGAAAGTATAATCTAGCACTCTTTAATGTCAATTATATATGCCAGCATCTGCTGGAGCTATAACAACAGTACAGGTCAAAGACCAGGAAATGGGACTGAATGGATTGCTCTTTCAAAGAGCCAGCACCTACATGGCCTTCCTCTGTGCTGTATATTTCTCTGGTTCTATGCTTCTAAGGCAACATATATTCTGTATATATTGCAAGTTTATCTACAGTGTAGCCCCAATCATTAGCAATATACCTCACAATATATCAATACTGGGTCCGAATGTCTTCTTTCATGCAACTAACATCTGGTTAGGGCATAAGTAATAGGGAATTGATAAATAACATGAGTGGTCAGGGTTAAATTCAGTACTATAAAAGGTAAACATTGAACATTTGATTGGCTGATAAGTGTTCTGTCAATGTTTCAATTGATCACTTTCTCATTATCTTATCTAACAAAGTGAGCTATGATTAACTAAAGCTCCCCTACTGATGCTATCTTGGAAAAGGTCATTGACTCCCATGTAAGGCCTTAAACTGAGTAGTTTTCAATAGCCTTATCTAATCTCAAAGCTCCTGGCCTCTCTATCCAGCACTCCAGGCAACCAACACACAATTAACGCCTAAAAGGTTTGTTTAAATTGGAAAGTCCAAACAGAACTTGCTGGTGAATAATAAAGGCTGGCAATCATTCTTTCAGCTTTTACTGATACTGGATAATTTATTGGAGTCAATCACTCCAAATTGCTTACCAACAGGTACTAATCACATTAACATAAGCACGGCATCCATCTGAATTTTACTTACTTTCCTCAAACATGCTGCCAAGTTGAAATTCAAACCAATACTATTCACATCTGTCTCACAATGGCTAGGAGATCTAAACCCCATAATATCAAGTTGGACTAACAACACTCAGCTTTCAATCATCTGCTCCAGCATAGAATGAGAGGGATCAAATAGATTTCAGCTCAATATCTGTATCAATGTATTTGTTTCGTAAGGCTTAGTTCCTCATCCTCACCTACAAGGCCATTCACGGCCTTGCTCCCTCCTACCTCTCCGACCTACTATCCCCCGACTTACCCGCCCGTACCCTCCGTTCCTCTGGCTCCGGTCTGCTCCACATCCCCCGTCCTAACATCGATGGCCTTCAGTCTCCCAGCTCCTAGGCTCTGGAACTCCATTCCCCAGTGCCTTCGCCTTACTTCCTCCCTTTCCTCCTTCAAGGCCGGTCTCAAGATCTTTCTCTTCGACTGTGCCTTCAGCTCCCCTCTTGACTCTCTACCCCCTCCTCGCTCCCTCCCTTCCCTCCCCTCACCCTGACCTTTTCCCCCCTGCTTGGGTCCCGACCCAACTGTCCAGCGCCTTGGGACGTCCTCCCGACGTGAAAGGCGCTCTATAAATGAAATCTTGTTGTTGTTCTTCACATTCATCCCATTTGTTGAAAAGAAGCACAATGTTGTGAAATAGTAGCAAAACTATTTCCTATTGGTACGTAATGTGATGCTTCACCATGAGTTGCCACCATGCTATCAGGTGAATTTCAGTAGAGAGCCAATTATACACAATAAATGGACTGATCCCCTTGTAGACAAGCAAACAGTGGGAATAATTGGTTAGCATGCTAAATACAAATTGATTACAGTGCTAAAATCAAGCCTACTCGCTTTCTGCATGTTACAAAGCATTAAAATGGCCAATTTCCAGATCGTTAGGTCACCATCACTTCCTGCTTTGCTGCACAAGCAGGCTTAATAGGAGCCGAGTAAGAAGAATTCCTGCCCAACCCTTCAAGTCCCGCCGATGAGCCAGGCTGCCTAATCTGTCATCAATGGTACCTTGGGGGTATCGCCTGGTTCAGGAACTGGACAACCGAGATCAACAACAACAACAACAAGATTCCATTTATAGAGCGCTGTTCACGTCAGGAGGACGTCCCAAGGCGCTGCACAGTTGGGTCAGGACCCGAACAGGGGGAAATGGTCAGGGTGAGGGGAGGGAGCGAGGAGGGGGGAAAATGGTGAGGGGAGGGAAGGGAGGGAGCGAGGAGGGGGGAAATGGTCAGGGTGAGGGGAGGGAAGGGAGGGAGCGAGGAGAGGGAAGAGAGTCGAGAGGGGAGCTGAAGGCTCGGTCAAAGAGAAAGGTTTTGAGACCGGCCTTGAAGGAGGAAAGGGAGGAGGCGGCGAAGGCACTGGGGGATGGAGTTCCAGAGCCTCGGGGCTGAGAGACTGAACGCCCGACCACCGATGGTAGGGCGATTGGGGCGGGGGACGTGGAGCAGACCGGAGCCGGAGGAACGGAGGGTACGGGCAGGTAGGTAGGGGATAGTAGGTCAGAGAGGTAGGAGGGAGCAAGGCCGTGGATGGCCTTGTAGGTGAGGATGAGGATCTTGAAATCAATCCTCTGGGGGATGGGGAGCCAGTGGAGGCAAGCGAGGGTGGGAGTGATGTGGTCCCGAAGCCTGGTGCGGGACAGTACACGAGCTGCAGAGTTCTGAATGACCTGCAGCTTGTGGAGGGAGGTGGCGGGAAGGCCGGCGAGGAGAGAGTTCCCATAGTCCAGCCTTGAGGTGACGAAGGCGTGGACCAGGGTTTCAGCAGCGTGAGGGGTGAGGTAGTGCCGTAGTCTGGCGATGTTCCGGAGGTGATGGAAGGCGGTGCCAGTTGTGGTGCGGTTGTGAGGGAGAAAGGACAGCTCAGGGTCGAACAAAACGCCGAGGTTCCTGACTGGCTTTGAGAGGTGGAGAGTGCAGCCTTGGATGCTGATGCTGTCAGTGCCTGAGGTGCGGAGGCGCTGACGCGAGCCAATCAAGAGGGCCTCGGTTTTTCGCACGTTGAGCTTAAGAAAGTTGTCTCTCGTCCAAGACTCGATGTCAGACATCACCACAGAGGGTTGATTTGATTTGATTCCGACATTCCATTGCTAAGTACATCACATT